ACACACACACACACACACACACACACACACACACACACACACACACAAAACGTCAGTCGTGCTGGAGTGAAAGGGGCACTTACCCAAGCTTCTTTTCCTGCTCATAGGGGCCTTGCACTTGAATGTTTGGCTCCTGCTGGCCTGGGCCTTGCACAGGGATGTTTTGTTGCTGGTGGATGTCTGTCAGCCTGGTGCTTTGCCTTCTGGAGTTGTGCTTCCCAGAGTTGTGTTGAGGCAATGGATGATTTCATTGTTGGAGAACTCAGTTGCCATGGTGGTTTTCCCAGCTGGTATCTACCATTCCCCTGCCTGTACTGAGGCTGGGGGGGTGGGGTTTCCTGGTGTTGGCACTTGCCTCTTTCACCAACCTGGGTCTCAGGATCTCCCCTTGGTATGCTGAGGTGGGTCTTGCTGCTGGCTTGCTTAGATGCCTCCAGTCCTGTACTGCTCCCCCTCCCCCAGAGTGAGAGGGGCTTTTCCTGTTAATCCCCCAAGCTTCCTGGGTTACAAGACTGCTGTGCCTTGTCTTTTTGCTGGCCCAGGGTTTTTCCTGGGTTGATATTTTCTGGGCTTTCAGAGGTCAATGAGGGAGGGTGAGAATGACTTACTTCTTACTCCGCCATCTTGGCTCACCTAAGCAGAAGTCTGACCATTGTAGGCTCTTGAGCCCAGAAGTGGCACAAAAAAAATCCTTATTTCTGCCTCAAATGTTCCTTTCCTAATCTCTCCATCTGTAGAAAGGGAGCAACATTCTTCTATTTTTGAAGAGTTCATTCATTCTGTAAGCATTTATTAAGCACCGCTATGTAACAGGCACTGTGCTAGGTTCTAGGGATACAAAGACAAAAGTGAAACTGTCTCTGCTCCCAGGAAACTTAAATTTACTTGGGGAAAACAATGTGAACACAGAGAAGTGAATACAGACTGTATACAAATTAGATACAAAGTAATCAGGAAGCTAGGTGGCACAGTGGATAGAGTGCTGGGCTTGGAGTCAGGAAAACTCATCTTACTGAGTTCAAATTTGACTTCAGATACTTACTAGCTGTCTGACCCTGGGCAAGTCACTTAACTCTGTTTGCTTCAATTTCCTCATCTGTAAAATGAGCTGGAGATTTCAAGAGACAAAGCTGAGGAGGAAGAATGTTCTAACTATGGGAAACAGCTTGGGCTAAGGCATGAGGTGAGAGATGGAGTTTGCTTGGACAGGAGACTAAGTGGAATGATGTGGAATAAAACTTGGAGGCTAGGCTGGAACTAGGTTGTGAAGGACTCTAAATGCCAGTTGTTTCTATTTGATCCTCCAGTCATTAGACAGTCCCTAGAGCAGGGGATGACATCATGAGTGCTGTGCTTCAGGAATATCACTTAGGACAAAGAGGTGGTGAGGTCCTAAATTAGGGTGGTGGCCACGTGAGCAGAGAAGTAGACAGATAGGAGAGCTGTTACAGAAGTAGAACCGACTGGACTTGGCAGCTGACTGGATAGGGAATCAAGAATGAATCTGAGCTTATGAACCCAGGACGGGTGGTGGTGTCCTTAACAGAAGCAAGGAAGTTAGGAAGAGAGGATGATTGTGCGATGGTGAGTAACTGTGGATGTGGAAGGACATGTAGAGGCAAGGGCTTACATTGAAAATTCTGAAGTCTATCTGAGAGATTGCTTGGTTTAGTGGAAAGTGGGATCTGGAGTCTGGAAGGCCTGAGTTGCTATCTGGACTCTGACACTAGCTGTGGTGTCTTAGAGGACAATTATTTAATCTCTCAGTGCCTTAGGCAATTCCCTAGGAGATTTCTTCTATGTCACACATGTCACAAATTTGGTGGAGGGAGATCCCACATGCCTCCCTGATAGAGCCTTTACCTGATGATCCACATATTTGCATGATTCCACTTATTGTTACCAGGTTGCACCTGGTCTCAATAATAATAGTTAGAAAAACATAAAGATGGGATGAATTCTCCCCTTGCCTATTTATCCTCTACACTTAAGTTAGCAGAATTTGAAGGCAGTTTCTCTTCCTTTAACAATTAGTGCTGTGTGTCAGATGTTATCTACTTAGAGAAGCTAACACAACTAGCTCTGTAATTACATCCCAAGGCTTGATGTGTTACTTGTAAACATCTGTCCAGCTGTTAAGAATGTTCACAGGGATGGGTCAGTTGTCACTGTGAACATACCTTAGATTTTCCAGGAGGCTGAAGCTTGGTAATGGTCAAAATGAATTCTGCCTATGTTGTTGGCTTTTCAGGTTTAAATATGCTTCATTTTTTAAATCTGGGGCTGGTCAACGAAGCCCCTCTAGGTCCATGGCTAAGTCTCTTAACCCCTCTGTGACTCAATTCCTTCATCTCAAAAATGAGGACGATAATAATGCTTATACTACTAATTTCACAGGATTGCTGTGGGGGAAAAAGTGGCTTTAAATAGTGACCTTTAAATATGAAGTGCTACTGTTTTTAATAGTAAAGAAGGTACTTTCCAGTTACACATTGGCTGGTCTTTCTGATGCTGCCTTAGGTCATTGCTTAGACTGGGAGAGGGCATGTGAAGCAGAACTAGCCCCAGAAGGATGGGGAAAACTGGGACATATCAGTGCTATTGTTTATTCTCCTTCTCTCAATATACATAAATGTATGCATGTGTGTATATATATGTATATATGTATATACACATAATGTATATATACATATATGTCTGTATATATACGTGTGTGTGTGTATGTTTTTATCCCCCTTCAGGAGAGACCTGCTTAAAATGATCCTCAAGGCCATTCTTGGAATAAAAAAGTTACAAAGCTACAAGAGGCAGCCTGAGTGGGGAGGAGGGTACTTTTTTCAATAGGTGATAAGGTGGTATTGATTAATTGACCATATGTAGGAGAACCTCAAGTTTTCTTCCCTTTTTCCCTTTTCCCTCTCATTTCCAACTTGCCTGAGCTATTTCTCTCTCTGCTCTATTTTCCTGGGTTAGTGTCTAAACAGGGAGGGGACCCCTCAAAATGTGGGCCTAGGGTGAGGCCAAGGAGGTCTTTTGGAAAGTGGTCACAGGGTCAGAATATCCAAATTAGAATCTTGCCTCTGTTCCAGCCTTAAGTCCCTTTTATTCTCTGAGCCTTAGCTTCCTTATCTACAGAGTGGAGAGACTACCACTACCTATCTCCTAGGGCTGGTGAGGGAAAAGAGTTTTGTAGGTCTTAAAAGTATTGTAGAAAAACAAACTCTTGTTAAATCTATTTCACCTGTGAATTCTCTATCCCAGTGAAATCCCAGATCTGATTCCTGTCCTTCACTCAAATAGCTTATTGGCCTAGTAAGGATAAGAGCTGGGTCTATGATGTCATTGGTAAGAGGAACCCCCAGAGAAGTAAACACCTTTTACCATTGCAGACCCAAATAGGGCTTGGACTTAGGATGTCATTGATATGGGGAGCTCCTAGAAAAGGAGACTTCTACTACCATTGCAAGTCTGATCTGCAACTTAAGATCATTAATATGAGTTGTCCAGAACTCTGAGAAATTCAATGACTTTTCCAGGGTTACCTCAACAGCATGGATCAGAGGAGGGACTTGAATCAATTAATCAGCATTTATTAAGTGCCAACCATGTGCCAGGCATGTGGAACTTGAGCTTGAATTCAAGTTTGAATCCAAGTCTTCCTGGCCTGTCCTCTATCTGTTAGCCCACGCTGCCTCTCTATTTGCTTGGCAGAAGATAAAAGAGCACTTGTCTTTTTGGTTCTTTCTCAGGTTGGGAAGATTAACCCCCAGCCTCAGTTTCTGACATTTGATCAATTGAACTTATATTGTGGGAGTTTGCTTTGGGTGGTCTTCTAGTACCAAGTCAATTTGGCTTAATGCAGTTCAATCTTAATTAGTCACTTGCTGAACTTCTACTATGTTCAAAGCATCTGGTTAAGGCCCTGAAAAGATGACTTACTATTTTATGCATTTAAAAAATGTGCTTTTCAATACTTCAATGGATCTATGATCTCATCCAAATGGATGTTCCTCTCAACAATGCAAAGTAAATCTATTCCATCCCACTTATCCTGTGCCACTCTCATCTATGTTCTGTAAATTCACGCAGGGGTTCACTCAAGGTTAGGGGTCTTCTTCCATATCTCTGGGCCAGGACCGGAACCTGTGGTTTAATGGTAAATGTTTAATAGCCACCTCTTTGGGGAAAAAAAAGTATATATGGCACATTTTTTAAGTTTAATCTGATGGCTACAGTTTTCTATATCACTTTCTTAAGTTTGACAATCATCAAAACACTAAATCAAGCTCTAGTTTGTAGTGTTTGCTAATTTCTGAGGTATGAATCCCCAAACTTGAAAATTTAACAACCAGCTGTCTCCAGCACACCCCTCAGTCTAGAACTCAATTACCAGTTTCTCACTCCATTTACTATACCATGCTGCTGACTAATAGAAATTAGCTCATCAGAATTTACCTTCAGGTAAAAACTTAAGATGAGTTAAAATCTCTCCTTTTATCATGCTTTCCAATGATGCCTATTTTTCCAGCCTTACTTTTTATCACTCTCCTTCATACATTCTACTTTATGGATAAACTATACTACTAGCTGTTTTCTATCTTGTCTTACCCTCTAACATGGGCCTAGAACAAGGCTACTTAACTTGGCAAAGTGAATGGTAAATTACAGAGTCCATAAAGTTGAATGGGAAAAAAAAATTATACCTTACTATTATTATTGCTAACCTTGACTTCCTCTATAATCCTATGTATTTTGTTTTATGCATTTAGAAATATTATTCTGGGAAGGAGTCTATAGCCTTCATCCAAGAGTGTGTTGGAGAATCAATTGTTAAATTTTTATGGTGAGCATTTACACCTACAAATTTCCGTTTACATTTACAACTATAAATCAGGGTTTGAGTTGATGTTTTGTTGATTGTCTAGACTTAAAAAATATGATGAAGAAAATGTTAATAATACAGATTAAACTTTAATGTGTGTCATACATATATTGTTTTCTCTGCGAAAGCTGGTTGTTAAACATTTACCAGCACACACCCTGGTTTTACCAAACTTGCCAAAGGAGTCTGACATAAAGAAGGTGAAGAACCAGAACCTATTTCCTTCTTATCACTACATT